CCCCCCCCCCCCCCCAAGATCTTTTGAGATTTTGCAATTTACAGATGAAATTTCCCAGGAAGACACACTGGTGATGTGTAGCCTCCTGAGGATACATATTTGAGGCCAGGACTACATCACCAGCGATGACCAACCAGGAAATGGAAAAATAGTAATTGAAAGGAAAAGCAAAAAAATTTTAACTAAATAATGTAAGATGAGCTACATGCTGATGTGATTTTTTTAATGAAAGGGAGTAAAGGTCTGCTTTAAGTATTTAGGCAGCAGTTTGTATAACAATGTCACTCAGTCGGACATCTTCTTTACAGGGAAGAGTTGTATTCACACTTTGATATTAGCAAAGTGTAAGGTAGATATAGTCCTCTTTATACAACATTCATAGGTACTTATGCTGTTTTCAAACTAGAAGATATCGAACGCAACCATTCTCAACTTGTCTGAAAAACTGCTAGTTCCTGGGCTGTCATTCTCTGGCTTCACTACTTACTAAGTCAGTGGCATGGTATGCATAATGTAGGTTTTAGCTTTGCTGGCTGAATTAATCTGAGACTCACAATTTAACAGGATGATAACAGGTTGATTTGCAGGTTTTACAGTAGGTCAGGTATGTATTAAGAGCCACACATTTAAAGTTCCATATTATAGTGACATATAAAAAAAAATGAAAACGGAAATAATTTTTTTCATGAATACATATTCTTTAAAATACAAAGAGCTGAGCATTAGTGCTTTGAATGACTATCGTATTGAGATCCCTTATTAGAAACCAAATATATCATGTATTATCTTATTTAGAAATATCAATTATCGTTCTTTCTAAAATATTTTTGTTTGGTGCGACAAAGTAGTACACAGTCTAAATTGAAACTGGCTTTAATTTTGTTAAAAATTTTTATTTTTACTTGTATAGGTAATGCTTTAATAAATGCGTTTGTACCTGTACAATCTCTGAGACAGTAAAAGTCATGTGTAATTTAAGCTTTGCATATGTATCCAGTAAATTTGGACCACACTAATTCTCACTATCCACAAATGCTTTCTATTTTATTTAAATTGGAGATGGCTTACTACAGGAGATTCTTTTTCAACTAGCTCACTAGATTGCTAAAGCTGCATTCACTTCAATCACCCAACCATGTGCAAGGGAGATTTCTATTTTGTTAAGTTTTTATAATTGCCCAATCAATCGCAGGATGTTCAAAGTGAGCACATTTTAATTTTCCTAAGTGAAAATAATACCGCTTTAGTCACGACCACTGTCCTCTAATTTCAACAAAACATCAAAATATGACTACAGCTAACAAATATTCACCAAGGAACACCTTGGTCCCTCAGCTCCTGTAAGAAGGAACGAACCTTGCAACTCTACAGTAACTGATTACCTAACATGATAAGCTATGGGGCCTTTTTATAAAAACTGGTAAAAAAGTTGCTACACTTACACTCTTATTCCTAAATATTTGCCCACGTTATACAATTTTAACATAGAAGGTTGCAACTGAAAAGAAAACAAAAACTAAAACTCATAATAAAAATTAGCTTCAGGAAATTTTCTTCTCAGCTTCCCTCTATTGCAAATAATTAATTATGCCTGGTTTACTTTGGTGTAAATTATCATATAAACATAATAGGAAATTCTTTAACATATTGTGAATGTATGTGCAATATACATTTTGGTGGGTTATTTTTACCTGAATTTAGATTGGTAAAACTGTCAGAAACAACATTTGACATCATTGGAGTATAGCAGTATAACCCTTTATAATTAGGCCCCTTAGTACATATTATAGCTACTAGTGGGGATAATGTTAAAGCTGTACAAAGCACAACCATACAAAATGTGTGCTATTCATCTTGAAAACGTTAATATATACACTTTATATCTACATATACAGTGAGGAAAATAATGAATTGATCCCCTGCAGATTTTTTTAAGTTTGCCCTATTACAAAGAAATGAAAGGTCTATGATTTTTATCATAGGTGTATTTTAAATGATAGAGACAGAATATCAACCAAAAATCACGTGATACAAATATTATAAATTTAGTTGCAGTTCAGTGAGTAAAATAAGTATTTGATCTCCTACCAACCAACAATAAATCTGGCTCCCACAGACTGGCTATGTGGTACACATATTAGTCACAAGACTATCAGCAAGAAGCTTGGTGAGAAGGAAACAACTGTTGGAGAGATTATTCGCAAATGAAAGGAATACAAAATAACCATCAATCGCCTTTGCTCTGGAGCTCCATGCAAGATTTCGCTTCACGGGGTAAGGATGATCATGAAAAAAGTGAGGAATCAGCCCAGAACTAAATGGGAGGAGCTTGTGAATGATCTCAAGGCAGTTGGGACCAGAGTCACCAAACCAACCATTGGTAACACAATACACCACCAGGGATTGAGATCCTGCAGCGCCTGCAAGGTCCCCCTCCTCAAGAAGGCACATGTACAGGCACGTCTGAAGTTTGCTAATGAACATCTAAATGATTCAGAGAAGGATTGGGAGAAAGTGCTGCGGTCAGATGAGACCCCCTGTGTTTTGAGGAAGAAAAATGCTGACTATGACCCTAAGAACAGCATCCCTACAGTCAAGCACGGAGGTGGAAACATTATGCTTTGGGGTTGTTTCTCTGCTAAAGGTACTTGGCCGCATTGAGGGGTCAATGGGGGGGCCATGTATTGTGAAATCTTGAATGAGAACCTCCTTTCCTCAGCCAGAACACTGAAGATGGGTCGTGGATGGGTCTTTCAGCTTGGCAATGAGCCAAAATACACTGCCAAGGCAACAAAGCTGTGGCTCAAGAAGAAGCACATTATTGTCATGGAGTGGCCTAGCCAGTCTCCAGACCTTAATCCTATAGAAAATTTACGGAGGAAGCTGAAACTTCGAGTTGCCAAGCGACAGCCAAGAAGCCTTAAGGATTTAGAGAAGATCTGTAAAGAAGAATGGACTAAAATTACCTCTGTGCTTGCCAACAAGGGTTTCTCCACCATGTACTATGGCATGTTTTGCTTGGGGATCAAATATTTATTTTACTCGCTGAACTGCAATTTAATGTATAACATTTGTATCATGTGTTTTGTCTGGATTTTTGGTTTATATTCTGTCTCTATCATTTAAAATACACCTATGATAGAAATCATAGACCTTTCATTTCTTTGTTAGTGGGCAAACCTATACAATCTGCAGGGGATCAAATAATTATTTTCTACACTGTATATATATATACATATATACTGTTTATGAAAGGTCTTACTTAAACTGCAAAAGGCCCTCTAACTCTAAAAAACAACTTTGTAAGTAAAAGAAAATATAATCCTAATTAAATAATAGCACTTAAACATATATGACGAATAAATACTGCTTTTTGCCTAATGTTTCTGATGAATATCACTTAGCGTGCACGAAAAAGAAAGTGCTTCAAACTTTCTGGCAGAGAAACTCTATACATGTGAATCACGCTTGCTGGCACTGAAACCAAATGAACAACTGTACTCTATTTTAAGCACCAAGAAGTATGTTTATGTGATCCTTAGGATGAGAACAAGCAGCATATGAGCAGATGAAATTACACCCTCAGTCTTCACTCAATAATCTATTAAACACATTTCAGAAATTACAGAAAATATAACAGATATAATACAGCTTCTGATTGCTAACTTCTCTACCATTTGGTCTTACAGTAACATAATAAACAAAGTTATTTATATGACATGCTGCAGCTCAGATACAGAAATAAAACATTGTCAATCCTCAAAAAAAAAGTATTAGGAAGAAAAGTAGTTACACACTAACTGCTGTGTCCATTATCATTCAAGATATTATGAAAAGTTTTCAGGGTGAAGCCTCAAAGCTGCTTTACTTAACGTTATTTTATGTGCAAGAAAATGGTATGTCCTACTAAGAGAAAGAGCATTCCTGCCAAAAGAGAGAAAAAGATTCCGAATGGAGCTAGCATAAAGGACCACCCGTAGCGAATGTCCACTGTGTAGCCTGGGCAATCCTCTTGTCTCGTATCCTGGTAACCCTTCACATCTGATACACTCTGTACCCAGATGACATGCATGATAACAACAAAGGTGAAAAATATACCTGAAAAAAAATGATACATTCTAAGTTAGTATAAATATCAATATATACATCACAACCCCACCAATAATAAATATATCTTAAGTATTTATATAGAAACAATATCTATTTTATACAGCATTCAGGTCTGCCCTTGTTTTATGTTTACAAAAGCAGAGTGTGTAAACAACTGTCAACATTATTAAATGAGCCATATGCTTTTATTGCATCAATGTCACATTCATGATGGAATAGGTATCTGTTGTTATTATGAAAGTACTTCTGAACAGTAAATATCCTTTGTAGGAAAATCTTGGTATCCAGCAGGAGAGGGGAATTGCTCAGTGAAGTTATATGACTAAATTTGGGAATATCAGGATGGTTTGACAGCAGGGCATGTCATCATTTATTCAAAAGCATTACAACTAGCAGTTTGACTTGATGTGCATCCTGGAACTCCAACCAAAAATGTTTGTTGCTGTTGTGTTATACAGCGTTTGAAAGAGTGGGAAAAAAATGTAAAATGTTTGCCAACTTTTTATTGCTCTCTGTGTCCCTGGGAAACATATGCTCACTAACAGAAAGAGATGTGTCATCATTGGAAGCTGACACTAGAAAAGAAGAGAGGTAAAATCACTCTTTGGGACATCTGTGCGAGTGACAAATGTGACTGTGGTTTTATTTAACCTAACTTTATGAAGATAACATCTCTCTTACTGCTCTATCTTTGGTACAGAAAATGAGGGAAGACAACCCAGTGGGCACAGAGCAATAAAAAAAACTAATTTGTTAAAAGAAAAAAATATGTGGTAGCTGCAATTGGAATTTAAACATGGTAACTAACTTGCCGGTTTTTTAGACCATCAATTTTAATACTGCAGATATTAAGGATAGGGAGTTGCCTACCAAAATATGAAGTGAATACAGTATTATTATAGTTAGAAAATTCTTTAAACATTATTATATTGACAAAGCACCCAGTATTTCATTAAGTCTGAAACTAAAAGGCTATAAAAACTGAAATATTTTAGCCAACAATTAGTCAGTGATAACTCATCCAAGTGTCATTTTCCCATCCAACTGTCTCAGGCACCTAAAGAGCTAGAGTCAAAGTTTTCCTTTGCATGTGTCTGTTTAGTGAGGAACTGAAAAGAATTTAGCTTGCAATATTTAGTTGACCTTACTATATTGACTTTGTAGAAGGTGATAGAGAAGTTGGGAAGATTAAAAGTAGGGATGCACTGATACTGTTTTTCCGGTATCGAGTACGAGTACAGATATTTTTTTTCCGGTACTCGCCGATATCGAGTACCAATATCGGTGCCGTGTGCCCCGATTATCAGGAAGTCGGGTGGTGGATCATGACCTGTCGCCCGGCTTCTTGATTGCCTGTGAAGAAAGTGTTCTAGGGAAAGAACACCGGCTTCACTTGCCGAGGCTGCCTGGCTGCCGGGTTGAGGGTCATGAGGTACCATCCTGCTTCCTGATTGGCAACAAGTGAGGCTGGCTTCCTAGCCAATAAAGAAGCCAAGTTGCACGTCATGGCCCGCCTTCCAGCTTCCTGATTGGCTAGGAAGTCAGCTTCACTTGTTGGTAGGCAGCCTGGCTTCCTAACCAATCAGGAAGCCGGGCGGCACGTCATGATCCGCCTCCTGGATTCCTGATTGGCTAGGAAGCTGGCTTCACTTGTTCATAGGCAGCCCGGCTTCCTGACCAATCAGGAAGCCAGGTGGCGGGTCATTTCGTGCCACCCAGCTTCCTGATTGGTTAGGAAGCCAGGCTGCCTACCAACAAGTGAAGCTGACTTCCTGTAAGTTTACCATACTAAAGTGTAAATTTGACTGATATCAATTTCTCTTTTGTTCCAAACAACCTTTTTACATTTTAAGATCTACAATGGCTTTTTTAAACTTCTAGATAATGTATACTAATAAGGGGCGCATTAAATTGTAGTAAAAGTCTGCCAATGCAAAAAAGAATACATGGTTTCTCATTTTTTTCCAGCTGACAAAATGTGTGTTTAATCAAATATGTTTTGTATGAATTACACTATTATGGATATGTCATTCAACAACTCTTTGATACAATATTTTGAAGTGTAATACCATCACTATTAATTAAAACTGATATTTAGAAGAAAGCAATCAACTGTTGTTTTTGAACATGCATTAAAGAGGAAGTGCACGATTTAGGATGGGATGAAATCTTTAATTAGAATGGCTTTTAAGCAAATTTCTTTTCATATGAATTAGTGGTTTTCTTTTTCTTTTTTTAACATAGTGAACTGCAAAAGGTTTTCTTCCTGTCATGCCAGAGCTGGTGAAAACATGTCTAATGAGCCAAGACCCCAAAATGATGTTGACATTTGATTAAAAAGACCTAAGATGTAAACAGATAATTCATTAATGATCTTTCATGAAATGTTAAAGACTTTAATAAAGTAATGAGTGTGAACTTTAAGTCTTCAGTTTTAAAATCAACGTGTCACTTTCTGCTCTGTTTATTTTAAAGCATTTATATTTTATGAGCAGCTAATATGCATAGTGGTATTGCTAACTTATAGTCAACTAATTCAATAATGTTCACTTTCCACCGACAAATGAAAAACTAAAAAATCAATTGCTACAGTATAGAGCTGCAGCTAACGATTATTTTCAAAATCGATTAGTTAGCCGATTATTAAGTTCGATTAATCGGTTAATCGGATAAACAATAAAATACATTTTTAAAAATGGCTCCAGTGATGGACTACTAGTTTGTATTGAGATTGCACTCCATCACAGGAGCGAGCTTGGAGCGGTAGAAGTAAAAAAGAAAAGAAAAAAAATAGTGGTGTGCAATATAGTGAAAAGGAAAGTGTAAAATTATACAGCAATGAATGCAGAATGGCACCGACTATAGAGGACTACAAATCCCAGCAATAGTACATTATAGCTGGCGGTATTCTGCATTGCGCTGTATAATGTACTATTGCTGGGTTTTGTAGTCCTCTATAGCTGGTGGTATTCTGCATTGCGCTGTATAATGAAATATTGCTGGGATTTGTAGTCCTCTATAGCTGGTGGTATTCTGCATTGCGCTGTATAATGTATTATTGCTGGGATTTGTAGTCCTCTATACAGCTCAATGCAAAATATCACCAGCTATATAGGAGATCCCAGTAGTGTCTAATGTATTCCTCTATAGCTGATGGTACATTGCTCTGTATAATATACAGCACAATGTACCATCAGCTATAGAGGAATACAAATCCCAGCAATACATTATAGAGCACCATGTGTGGGAAAGTGCAGGATTAACTGAGCAGTCTTCCAGCAACTTGTTTCTGAGATGGGACCTATCGGCGGCTGTCATCCGCCCACACCTGCTCCTCCTTACTACATCTCCCCGCGTCCCTGTGCCGATTGTGGATGTGGGCGGGCGGTGAGTGTGAGGTGGGGAGGAGGTGCGGCGTGAAGAGCGTGGATGCTGGCGGGCGGCGGTGAGCGTGAGATGGGGAGGAGGTGCGGCGTGCAGCGTGTGTGGAGCTGTGAACAGGGCCAACTGATCAGAAGCCGATTAATCGATTATTGAAAAAGTTGACAACTTTTTCAATAATCGATTATAATCGATTATGTCGATTAGTTGTTGCAGCCCTACTACAGTATTATTCAAGGGCAGGATTGTTTGAAGCTGCAACGACATACTGCAGTGTCAGAAATTATATAAGGCAAGCAGAACATAAATGCAGATTATATGGCCAGCAAATTAGGACCAGGGCCTAGATTAGTTCCCAGTACTTTTAAATTATATTGGAAAAGGTAAATGGAAGGTGATATAACTGAAGAGGACAGGGCACTCCAGTCAAATAAAATCACTTTACTTTACCTGTATTAGGTCTATCCAAATAGTCTAGTCCCCTAAACAGCACATTGCATGGCTTTGTAGCAAGAGGTCCAGGAGATAGGACTGTTTACCAAACACGGTTAGTTATATAAAATTATAGTTGTCTTTAAGTCCTTGGATGGTTTGAAAATGGATACTAATGTATCTACAAATTCAAGGACTTGTTTTGATTATTACAAGAAATTTCTTGAAATGTGTTTGCTGCACTGCATGGCTGTCTCTGGCTTCCACACTCTGTGAATCACCTAACTGGAGCAGGTACTGTATGTAACAAGTAAAGTGTGAAGCTCTCCTAATCTGCTAACTAGTTCTGTTTCAGTGGCTCAGAAGGTATTGATGCTAAAAGATCAACACCAATTTCTCTCAGTAGAGGTTTCCTTTAAAAGTGTTCAGCGGGTAGCACCCAAAAAACTTCTTCAACATGGAATTAATTAATGTGTGCAGTCATTTCTTTCTCAAGTTGCAGATGGGAAATTAAAGCTTCTGGTATGCTTGGGTGCATCATATTGTAAACATACTAGTCTAAAATGTCTGTCAGATTGCCAGATTACGTATACACTGACCAGCAACATATGAGGAACAAAATTGCCAAACCAGACTTCAGTCTTACAAATATCATCACTGCTTTCCCAGTTCTACTTCTATTCAGCATCTCCTCGGACTCTAAAGCATTTCCATGCCGCCATAGAATACTGTAAGGGGTTGATTTACCAAAGCAAATAGGTTGTCCACTTTGCAAAGGAATTTGCATTTTACACAGGAACTTTCCCTTAATCGTAGTGAATGAGATGAAGCTCTGTTGACATCCATCATTCAATTATGTGCAAGAAAATAAATTTTTCTTTAATTTACCTTCCACAGGATTGAATGATGGATGTCAACAGAGCTTCATCTCATTCACTACGATAAGTGGAAAGTTCCCTGCAAACTGCAACATACGGTACTGAACAGCCTATTTGCTGTTAGTAAATCAACTCCTAAGTTATTAAGGTAAATCACTAATTCCTCCAATGATGGTCTTGCAACACTTTGTTTTCACTAACCTTTAATAAATTCTAGGACAGCCCGCAACTAGCATTCTGACAGGATGCCCACTACTACTACAATCATCAACCTGGCTACAAACTATGCACACTGGTTACACACACCATTTCTAAAGAGTACCAGGAATGGACATGAATTTGTATAACTTGTGTGTTTTTTTTCCGTTACTCTGAAGCCTCTCACATGCTGCTTTCTGGGGCTCTGTTGAGAAGGTTGTGTCACAAAAGTATACCACAGGGGTGATGCCAGATTCTTAAACCTCTCACCTAAACTGAAATATGTTTTATGTTAGAAAAGTTAAAGGGAAAAAATCCTTTTCAGCTTCTCCCATTTTTGTCCATTTTCCCCTTTTGTTACTTCTCTCGAATTCAGTATACCTCATTTATTTGCTATTTCAATTTTTAGCCAGAAAATAGATCACTTACGCCCTGCTTCCTGCAGAAGAGTGGGCTAGGCACAACAGAAAACTTAATTCTCTGCCAATTGAAGTTATACAGCTGCCACTCAATATGCTCTGGTTTATGTTTATAAAGCTGAGTTGAAGTAATGTGTACAAGGTTGTTGGCTGAGTGCTTTACACATGTTAACATTTCACTTCAGTAAGTAATTAAAGCAGCTACGGGGAAGGGGAAATGCAAAGTAAAGAACATTTTGGCAACATTTCATTTTTTTTCCCAAAGATGTATACAACTCTCTGCTGCTCTCACTTGTGTTTAGTTGTGTACAGAACTGTGTAGTGTCAAGGGCAAACCAAAACAAACAGACCTCTTCCCAATCAAATGAAGAGCCAATAAAATCTAACACGTAAGCTCCCTTGCACAAAAACATTCATTGTTATGTAAGTAGTAGTTCCCATGGCTTAACCAAACTTGAGTTCATGCTATAGTAAAATATTATGTGTAGAAGAACATAGAATCTCAAGCATTATGGCATTCAGGACACAACGAGGAGAGGCTGTCTGCACTGTCCTTCAATAAGATCACTGGAAGGAATTCACATGCAATAATCAAAAAGCTCCTGTCTTCAAGATGCAGGACATGAGGTCTGTCTACAACTTGACAAGCATGACTTGGCTGTCCGAACAATCTCCTGAACAATCTTCCATACAAAACAAACACATAAACATGCAGTTTTGTGCCTATAGTGAAGAAAATCTCTGCAGATATCCCTTTCCTTAGACGAGGGAAACAGTGGATACTAGGGATGCACCAAAATGGAATTCTACCATCTACCATTACCATCGGATACCGAAAATTAAAAATTTGTCAGGCAGAAACGGAAAATTACGTTTTTTTCCAACCTTTTTACAAATTTACAAATTATTTTTGAATTATTTTATTTTAATTTTTTTTACTTTACTGCTGGGGGCTCTGGGGAAATATTAGGGGTCTAAAAAGCCTCATACTGAGTGTTTCCGTTCATTCATAAATTGTGGCTAAAGTATGAGTAATTATATCCACAATCATGAATGAACAGGAAGTGATGTGGAGCACTTCCTATTCATTCATAACTGGTACATAGTAACTAACACTATATCCAGTTATTTACAAGCATTCAGCTCAGCTGATCACTAAATGTTTGTACTCCGCTCTCCATCCGGAATCGGCTGTCACCGGAGGCAGAGCAGGGCTGTGCAGGAGGAGAGCTCTGCCTCCTGTGACATCAAACAGATCTCCTCCAATCCCTGCTCACCATTCTGACACAGGAGGCCGAGCCGGTAGGAGCGATCTCCTCCCCCACTGCTCTGCATCCTGAAACCTTCTCTTCTCCCCGCTGGGTGCCGGCCGCTACATCAGAAGGCACACAGACCGGCACCAAGCGGGGAGGAGAGAAGCTGGGATGCACTGAATTTTTGGCCGCATTGTCGGCCGTCATGGCACTTTTGGCATTTGGCCAAAAGTGGCATTTTTGGCCAAAATTTCAGTGCATCCCTAGTGGATACCTATGAAAATCAAACCCAATTGATCATCTCTCCCTCAAAAAGATTTAGCCAGGTAAGGTGTACCAGGGTTAGGGAGGACTGATAGATGGGCAAGAGCTTTGTCCTCTAAATGTAACCAACTGGATCAGGTACATTTTCTCTTATACCTATAGGCATTTTGGAGTTTCAGCGTCAATGCTCACCTATCACTAGGCATAAGTTTCATTGTGTTTTACCAGAAAAGTCAAAACAACAAAGTTAAACAAGATTTTTTCCACATAGGGTATGCCAAGCACAATTGCACAGTGATAATACTTGTGTCCCACAAAGCTCTGGGGTATACTTCAGCTGTAAAAAGCAATAGTATGAAACAAGTGAGAGGGGCTAAGCGTAAATTGGGTGGTGCTTCAGTTTGCCTATCAAATGCCTATAGGTCACCTGCTTTAGGAAACATTCCAGCACAACAATCATGCATTCCCGCAGGGAAGAAGTCAGTGCCCCTGACATGAATATTTAACATGCCAGACATGCCCTCTATATGTCAGAGTACTAGAAGCTTTAGCTGCAAAATATGTCTCGTATATACATGGGGAGTAAAGTGTATAATATAACAATGAATACCAGAGTATTTGGATTTTGTTTAAAAAGTATCCTTAAAGCCTCATATGCAAACACAAAACCACCCCCCTCTTCTTACCAGAAGTGATAAAGAGACCCCCTCCAGCTTTATACAGCCTGTGGTTTGTGAAAGGCGCAGCACATATGATGAAGAAACCTCCTGCAACAACAGTCACTATGCCAAGAAGCATAAATATGTTCCAAAATCCACGATATACTAAAATACAAAACAGAAACAGAAGGTTTGAGTTGTATTTATAAATACAGCAAAATATCTGTATCCATATAATATCACAATCATTAGTATTCCATACACAAAACCATAACCAGCATGCTTAAAAATGTTCTTTTTTCAACAATCCTTTATATATATATCGCTAAGCAAAATCTCAAAAATCCTTTTATATGTCGCCAAACAAATATTTAATTCATCCGGAGCAATCTAGAGCATATGACGCTTTTAAGACTAGTTTTATTTCATGCCTTCTTCTGATATTCCTACAGGTTAAATATTGAGTTTTTCTGTTACAATGTAATAGACAGTGCGGGTATTAATAAAACTGGTATCTACAGGTGAAACTCGAATAGTTAGAATATCGTGCAAAAGTAATTGCAGTAAGTGCTGCAAAAGGGGCCCAAACCAAGTACTGAGTACATATGCATGCTTGTACTTTTCTGAGGTCCGATATTGTTCTATGTACAATCCTTGTTTTATTGATTGCATGTAATAATCTACTTTTTTGAGGTTGTGGATTTGGGGTTCTTGGGGTTTTCATGAGCTGTAAGCCATAATCATCACAATTATGACAAATCACGGCTTGAATTATCTTACTTTGCATGTAATGAGTCTATCTCATATATTAGTTTCACCTTTTAAGTTGCATTAGTGAAATAAATGAACTTTGCACGATATTCTAATTATTCGAGTTTCACCTGTATGTCTTTATACTTAATTTTTTGTGAATTTTAACATAAATAGTCACCTTGGGTAACCATTTGGAGGTGTATTGCCAATTGCCAAGTGTATGCTGGGAAAGGGCATAATTATTTGGGGCTAACTTTGTCAAGGTCTCTTTGTCAAGGTCTGGGTGGGGGTGAGGGGTAGGTGCTACCATAATGTGTAATTTGTGTCTTATATCATACCTCTATACCTATGTGAAACAGGACACTAGGATCTATTGAAAGCAACCCTGTAATAATATTATCTAATTTATTAGGAAGCTCTGCAGCAAGCATTCTAAGATGTCTCATCCTACCAGCACATTACTGCCCACTGCCCCAATCCACATATTCAGCCCCCTACAAATCATGCTCGAGCCAACTGATTTCAGTCAAGCACCAAAAACTGCATTGTGGGGCCTAAAGAGGTTGGGTCAGGCTGTAGTACTGAGCAAGTACCTTAGTGCACCTGCTAAAAGCCTGTAGGGTTACTTTCAAAATGCTGAAGGGAAATGAATCACCTATATCTAAATGGCAAGACCAGATAACATGAGGAAAGCTAGTGTGCTTCTGTTACAATTATATTATTATAAAAAAAAGTAATAAATTATTCTTAGTACAGGTAGGCACAGACAAAGGATACACTAAAGCAATACATACCTACTGCTGAGTGGTACACCGTGGAATTACTGTTATCCCTACTCCTTGGAAATGGAGACAGGTAGGCGTGCGTGCAGTTCTTTGTTGGGGCTTGATTGGCTATACAAAAAATAAAGAAATAATATATTTTAGCAATTAAAGTAGAACTCCAACTTCTAATTATATTTTTAGTTTTTTTAATCCCACCTAGTATTAAATAAAGAAAAATTAAAAAAATGTGATTTTCCTCTCCATGCTGCAGTGCTGCCCCCAGCTTCCTCCTCCACCCAGCTCCACCAGTCCTCTTTGGACAGAAAGATACTCGAGTCATTCTGTCCATCTCTTTCGAGTCTAGCCTGTCATTGACATACCCCTCTGGGGTGTGTGCCATCGCGCAGGCTGGGCTTACAGTACTCCAGAATTCAGAGACGCTCACGCATAATTACGTGAGCACCTCTCAGTCCAGGAAGAATGCTCGGCCCCTGCCTCCACCAAGAAAGAATAGCAACTACTGGTGATGTCATCGGCCCAGCTAGAAAACAACAGGAAGAAGGTATGCATAGGGTTTTTTTATAAAACAAGTGGAGGGCAGGTAGCAGAAGGGTCAGGAAATGAGGAAGTGGCTCCCCGCATCCCCCCCAAAAAATGTCTCCAAATGTGTTAGGGTGGGAAGAAGTAGAACGATGCTAAGTCATTTTTTTTGAGTAGACATCCACTATAACACTGATATTTCAATTGATATTTCAAATGACAAGCTGAATTTAAATCAGCTTAATGGATATGGAGGGGTATGTACACTGTTCATTTTTTTTTTTTCATTTTTGCTGGGACAATTCATATGGAGATGTTGTCAAATCTTTGCCTTGGACTAATCTGTCTGTGTTGTAGAGTAAGACACTGTAGAAATCGCTTTCACTGTTGACATTTATACTGTATTTGCTGAATAATCAGCACTGAAAAAGCATTGGTGTTGGTGCACTTTAATTAAAGTACTGGTTTGTGGAAATCTGAACAGACGCTGCTTTGAGTGGGAGAACTCAACTCTGCTCTGTCCTTGGACATTGCATACAAATATTCAAGAAGGCCTGACCCAGAGAGAACTTTGTATTAAATGCTTATTCTGTACTTTAACAGAAATAATTACTAAACTGTTTTATGTGAATGAAATCCGTAGCTAGTGACAGATTCCCTTTAAAGCTAAACTCTGGGAAAACAATAATTTTTGCACATTTGCTATGTACCAGTGTATCGCCCTAAATGATGTGTGCCCCATGTGCTGTGATGTGCTGCAACAGTTAAAACTGTTAATTAATTCAACCCCCCCCAGTATAGTAATCGCCAAGACTTAGAGCCCACAGTGTGATGCGACTTACAGGGGGTGATTTACTAACCTAAACACACACACACACCAGGTGTGTGTGATTTTCACACAGCAAAACGTATTTATCAACCAAAAAGTCTCTAAAAGCATATTTCCACTAATGCCATATATGGAAAAATCATGCACATGATGCATATATAATGCTGCTTCACAGTTTAGACAAAAATGGTTAGCTCATGCATTTACATTCCTGCATTCATCAACGCAAGCAACATAACATAGAGCTAATTTACACCACATTACCCTGCAATTCATTGCAGGGCTTTGCACAACACACCTGCTGGGTGTGTACACACTACAAAGGTGTTTCGATTCCTCCCATAGATCATGCTGGGAGGGAACACACTACAGAGGTGTATACACGTTCGTGGTGTGTTTAAAAGGTTAGTAAATCAACCCCACAGCCTCAGGTCTCATACAATGAAGGGTATGTGGGTTGCTCACATTCCACCTCCTCCATTCCTAAAAAAACCTGTATTTGTTTCACATGATACAACAAATTCTGTGAATGGACAAGGGTAGGGGAGGGGTGGGTAAACGTCACAATGTCTACCTCCAATTAAAGAAATCTTTGTATCCTTTGAAAAGAATATAAGATGTTTTTATGGCTGGGGGAGGGGAGGTTGGGTGCGAGTGACCCACATAGCCTTCACTGTATGCACTGTATAATAGTTGGGACTGTCTCAGCACTGGAAATTCAGCGCTCACTGTACTGCATTCTGTACTGCTGGGACTGGATGAAACTATTACTGGTACATAGCAAATGTGCAAAAATCATTTTCCCCCCCAAATTTAGCTTTAAGCTTTTACATTTGCTACATTGCCTGTGATACAAATTATTACTTCTAATCTAATCTTAAAGCTGAAATCCAGCAGATACCACCCCAAAGCCATATTCTCACCTGTCCACAATCCTTCCAGATCCACAAAGTGACCCCCAAAGGGCCTTGTGAAAGTATTCACCCATCTTTTTCCTGTGTTATTGCATTAAAACCTTGGAATCAAAATGGATGTTTTGGGCATTTTTACCATGTGATGTGCACAACTTACCCACCACTTTGTCGTTGCAAAATCCTTTTTATTGTGATACAAACAGTAATTAAGACAAAAAAACAAAAATCCTGATTGTGCATAAGTATTCACCCCTTTTGCGATGATACCCCTAAGGCCTCATTCACACAGCTAAGTGTTGGCCCATACAAATCCGTGTGCCATGCACGGCCATATCGGGCCATTCCTGGGAAGGACAGGTGCTGCATACAATCACACGCAGCACCTGTCCTTTCTGGGAACGGTCCGATAGAGCCGTGCACGCCGCTCGGGGTAGTTTACTGGAAACCCAGTGGTTTCCATTAAACCACTGGGGTGGTTTAATGGAAAACATATAAATGTCTTGGAATTACCTAGTCAAAACCCAGACCTCAATACAATTGAGAATCGGTGATATGACTTGAAGATTGCTGTACACCAACAGAACCCATGTAACCTGATGAAGCTGGAGTAGTTTTGCCTAGAAGAATGGACAAAAAGTCAAGTGGCTAGATGTGCTAAGCTAATAGACACATACCACAAGAGACTTCCAGCTCTAATTACGGCAAATGGTGGCTTTACAAAGTATTGACTTTGGGGGAAAGGGGGGTGAAAACTATTTTGCACCGACAAACTGGTAGGCATGTTGTGTACATCACATATCACATGGTGCAAACCCCCAAAATATCAATTTTGATTTCAGGTTTTAATTAAACAAAACAGAAAAAACACCAAGGGGGTGGAGGGGTGAAAAATTTCACAAGGCACTGTATGAAGACACCTTAAGAAGGCACATACTTACAGAAGGGGAGAGCAGAGAAGTGTCCTTTATTAGTGTGCCTCTGAAACATTATTGTCAAGTCACAAGCTGGTGTGAGTCCTTTCACATGTTGCTTAACTGCAGTATACTATCCATGGAGATACAGTGAAGTCTGACAAGAGTGCCTGCAAGGCAGGTTAAACAGATTTACAGATCGTATGGGAAATAATGTGTTTATTTTATCTGAGTTTTTAGCTATTAGAATTGAACTACTTTTCCATGTGGTATTTCAGTTATTTTGTCCACTCCCTGAACTTTCCATTTATAAAGCTTCCTTTCCAGCCTCTCCTAAGATGATATTAAATAGAAAAAAATATATAGAGGCACCATAACGTAGTAGGATATTTACATGGAATATCATGAAACACTGCATTAGCTCACATTTAAAATACTGAATTACAATTTTTGCTCCCATAACAAGGTACGGATCAGTTTTATAAAACTGACAAACACAGGTCCATATTGGTTCCTGAATACACCAAGTCATAGATTAAATCTAGACTGACTTTTTAAATATCTGCATATCTATAAGTGTGCTGCTTCAAAAAAAGAGGGGAAAATATGTAGCTTGCATATTTATTGCTGTCCTTAAAGAACATAAAAGTGGATGGCTATCAATATGCTAAATATAAAGCTGCAATTTTTTGAACCCACTGTGCCTGAACATGATACGAACAAGATGTGCTATTAAACAAAGATGAAGGGGTGCCTATGAGTAGAAACAGATAAGCAAGAAAGTAGCACTGTAGGGTAACCTTTTACACTCAGTCTTCGGGTTTTTGACATTATGGTTCTTGGTACGGGCAAAGTAAAGGCGGAACGATTTCTCTAGAAAAACAACTAGCTCAGAAGCAAGGGTCCATTTTCACATATTCTTTAAAAAAAAACTCTCTAAAGAAGTTCTTCATTTTTGGAGGAACTGTACCTAAGGAATCCAAAACCGTGATGCAGTCTGCCACAAGAAACGACCCTTTCTCTGAACCTAGGGTCATCTTATTCTGGAGTGCCCTAGACATTCAGTGACATAGACCTGCAGCACCATAGAACCGTCAATAGAACTAAAAAAAATATTGATGAATGAGCTTTCAGCTCTAGGAAGTTTGCCTTTGGGGTCAAGCCACAGGTAGGTGGGACCTGCATTGTCCAAAACTGAAAAACATTTAACTGAAAGACATTTTAGGTTTTATTAAAAAAATTAGAGTGAACAATGTATTGATCATTTTAGGATACATATATGCCATGATAGCAACAAAGTAGCTCAGTTTTCAATTATGAGAGCTGCACTCACTTTGGAAACTATTTTATATCACTTTAACCAGCAGGCAATTAAAAAATGCTCTGTATGTACTTACCATTAAAACAAAAATGCATTCAAAATAAAAACATAAATACAGGAAAACAACAATACAGAAAAATAAAAAACACATTTTAATATGTTTGCACAGACACAGTTTTTTAGAAAAAAATATATGATATCTTACTGATCCAAAAAGCTGCCATGCTGTTGTTATCTGGTCCTACATCCATGGCAAACCAGCATCTCCAAAAGAAACCCTCATGATGCAAAAGGGCTGGCTCAGTACCCTATAGAAAATACACACGATCAAATATAATTAGTTTATTGAATATTCATATACTGTACAATTACAATTAAACATGTTAACATTAAACATATAAAGCAATTGCCATTCATACTAGAACATAATATGCAGAGCATCCACTTCTGAAAAAGGAAAGACAGACTACAAAACAGTAACACTAACCTCAGCTCCTTGATTTCCTGAGCATTTGTCAACTTCTTTGGCAAGAAGCCAGTAGTCGGATCCAAATGCTACCAAAAAGACTAAAATTCCAAGAGCACCAAAGAGACCACCAAAAAATATTCCAATGCTTAACTTCATCATCAACCCGAAAATATGAAACAAATAGAATCCAAGGTTGAGATCAGATTTTCCTCTTGTCTGATCTCTAGCAGTTTACAGCCAGCTAACTAGAAGACTAAAAGATGGGTAGGGGCTGCTATTTCAGGATTTTGATTAAGCAGCTCTGCTATGTTGCTGTGGTAGGGAGTGTCCAGTCAAAAATAACTGACCTTTTTGTGGAGTCAGGAATACACATCACTCATTAGTAGGGCCTGGTGCATTGTAGAAGAAACATCCTGAAAATCATCTGTTATCAGAGTATAACATTCCCTAATGTTTTCCATCCAATATTTTCACAGCTTATAACACACAGAAATAGTTATCTGCGATATTTTAAAGTAAAGATGTTTATCTTATGTTTTTGTGTGTTGTAAACAACATGTTTAACGTAAGGCATAATGATATGAGTCAGGAGATGTAAGCTTTTGAACAGGTCACTTACAAACAGTTTATGGATGCACAAAACTCACAAAGCAACCACCAGTTATATCCCTTGTTTAAGACTAAGGGGGTTATTCACGAAGGAGCTGAAGGATCCAGACGTAGCTTCGGCTGATCCTTCGGCTCTCTTTGCTGCCGGAGCCCTTCGGTTCAGTCGAACTTTAGGGCTGCTGTACGGGTTATTCATAATAGCTCGTGCAGCAGCCGAAGGCGGCCAAGCGGCTAAGGCAAGCCAAAGGCATGTGCTTCGGCTCGACTGAGCCGAAGTGACAGCCAAATCGGGGCGAATGGCCTGAATGATGTCACGGCCGTCTCCGCCGTAGATCCTTCGGCTCTCTTTGCTGCCGGAGCCCTTCGGTTCAGTCGAACTTTAGGGCTGCTGTACGGGTTATTCATAATAGCTCGTGCAGCAGCCGAAGGCGGCCAAGCGGCTAAGGCAAGCCAAAGGCATATGCTTTGGCTCGACTGAGCCGAAGTGACAGCCAAATCGGGGCGAATGGCCTGAATGATGTCACGGCCGTCTCCGCCCAGTTGTTATTCATTGGCCGGGACCTAATAAAGACTCTAGCGGGTGTCGGCCAATAGGAAAGTTGGGCGGAGCTAGCTGTCACTGCTAGCTCCCCCCAATTGTTTTTTTTATTATCATTATTTGTTTAAATCTTTATTTTTTAATTTTACTATTTTTTACTATTTATTTAAAAAAAATGTCAACCTTTTCTTTTCCCGACTATTTTCATTGATTTTCTATTCTGCTCGGTACCATGGAGGTACCAAGCAGAATAGCCGAGCTGAATGCCGCTCAGTGGCATTCGGCTATTCACTCACTGCCATTCGGCCTTTATGTGAATAGGGGCAAATGGCAGCGAGAGAGCTGCCGGAGCTTCGGCTCAGCCGATCCAGATGTTGGATCGGCTGAGTCGAAGTCCTTCTGCACTTCGGCTCAGCTGAACATGCAGTGCATGTTCGGGTGACCGAAGTGCAGCCGAAGGCAGCCAATGTACAGCTGATTTTAGCCGATGTACGGCTGAAATCAGCCGCAATGAGCCAGAGTGAATAGCCGATTGTTGTTTGGCTCACTTCACTTCAGCTGGGTTATTCACTCGGCAGCTTTGTGAGTAACCCCCAGAATGTGGATTGTTGCATTAAAGCAATCATGGCTAGTTCTCTTTAAAGCCCAGATTCACTTTATAAAATTCTGGACCTGGACTTTATTATAAAATAATAATGCCAGAAGATGTATACAACTCTACTAGACTATACATACACTTTAATATTATTAAAGTGTATGTGCAGCCAAAACCTGTTTTTTCCCAGCCTTAGATAGAGTATGGAAATATTAGAACCCCTATGATGTTTTATTGCTGTCTGTAGATCTGCTGGGAAGAAAAACCCTTGCTTGTTTCTACTGGTGACCATTGTCACTAAAAATCCAAAATGTTAGCAGGTTAGGGAAAATCTTCCAACTGGGACGACTGTTTCAGGGACAACTGTCTAAGAAGGGAATGCCCCTCACTTTGTAGAGATTTCCTCTAACTTCCTGTTACATGTCTGGAACTGAAGGGTATTTTTCCCATCAGGGCATAGACAGCAAAAAATAAAATTAGGGTTTTAACATTCCCCTGCTCTATGCAAAACTAAAGAAACAAGTTTGGGCTATAGACACACTTTAAACTCCTGTCCAGAGAGCAGGGATCTAAATGAACTGGCACATAATTTCCAGAGCTTGGAAGGTACCCCTCTCTCTGGCACTTCCAATTCCCTTTACTGTTGGTTTCTAAATATCATAGACAGGCGTGTTGGCCATGAGAGATATGGAAACATAATACAAAAACATACGCCAAATGCCATAGACATGTCCATGTCTGCTGATATGTGCTGTGTAACTGCAATGACAAACTACATTTGTACAATGTAAATGAATGACAAACTACATTTACTACAAAGGTGAACAACCCCCATCTTATTGCTCCTGCACACTGTCTCCATCTTTGTGACCAGTTGTCTCTAACGCGCTCCTGGCACAGTCACACCCCGGCCTCCTCAACATTCAATGCAGGTCTAATAGCTGTGCATTGTACACAATGACGACACAGAGAGACGCCCCACAGCTTGGAGCACCTGGAAAAAGAGAAGAGAAGAGAGCAGGAGCCTGCCAAAGTGGGGATTAAGGTGAGTAGCACATCCTCTTTATTTCCCTCTAGACTTAATGAACATTTAATAAACACAATATAGATTCGTGCTATGGATAAAATAATACCAAGTCTACCAAAATCTGCTGTGCTTAGTGTGTCAAAACACCTTCAAATAATAATCACTAATCACTAATAGTGCACTACGCCGATCAAATAAATAAATAAATATGATAAAAGCAACACATAAAAATAAAATACATTCACAGATGGTAATAATATATAAATATCCAATATAGAGAATCCCAACTGATATGAAGAAAAGTGAACCAGTGTCTATATAGCTGGTAAATCCACTAAATCAATGCATAAAATCAGGATGGCCTCTGCCATCCTGATCGAGAAACTGTAAAACAATAAATGGGGCAGCCATATGACTAAGCATGTGTATTTCTTTCCATGGAGTCCTGAGATATATACAAGTCTACTAGACTGTACAGCCAGGGTAGTGACCTGACTTTTTTCTTCTGCAGTTAAGCAATACAGTAAGGTCCCCTCCCTGCCCACAGCCAGAGAATGAACAGTGACTAAGCAGCAGCAGTCCACCATTTTGTTCTCTCTACTCTCTCCCCTTCTGTCCGCAAGTCCCTTGTTGGCACATGTCCATGCAGCACACCTGATTGGCTCTCAACCCTGCCCCTCCTTCTTCCTGTAAGTGCTGCTGCACAGAGGGTTAAACGATGCCTATTCAAATTCGGGTACTTACAGTACAGTACAGACTGCTTTAAAAGTAGAGGCTGTGTTGTTAATATTGTTAAAGCTGATGCCTTCTCTAAAATTGTCTATGCCTGCAACATGCTGGAGATCTGAAACCCTACTCAACACAGAGCACAGCAATCCAAATCCCCAATGGTCCAGTGCCCCCTGCACAGTGCTTCAATCAACAGTGTTGCTCAGAAGTGTGTGTGTTATTCATTGGAGAAATGTGCAGGGGGCTAATTTGTGCCATTATCTGCAGCATTCAGGATTGACTGCAATCATTATATAGAGGAGAGGAGGAGGTGACCTGTAAGGGACACTAGATTACCTAATCCTGGAAAGTGTTCTGGTTGGATGCTAAGTCTGATGTAGGGAAGAATTTTCCATAGACAGCTCTTCTGAGGACAAGGGTCAAAGGAGGTCGGCTTGTATCCTATATTGCTATCCACTCTCAGTTTACACCTTAGTACTGAATACCACAGCCTGCATTTTGCGGCCCATTCATAAAATGCAGGCTGTGGTATTAAAGTGACATTAAACCCTCAGATTTTTTAACATAAAACAATAGTGTAATGTGTGCCTTACTGTAATCCATGGTAGTTTCCCTTCTCTTAGCTGCTCTTCCTTTTAAATATGTATCTGTTCTCATGCTTGGAGAGAACTTCCCTTTTCAGCTCAGGGCCTCTTCCTGTAGTGCTGGCTCAGGTTACAGCCTATACACAGACACCGTGTGAGAAAAGGGAAGTTCTGTCCAAGCAAGAGAACAGATACATATTTAAAAGGAAGAGCAGCAAAGAGAAGGGAAACAACCATGGATTACAGTAAGGCACACATTACAGTACTGGTTTATGTTAAAAAATCTGAGGGTTTAATGTCACTTTAAGTCTGCAATACCTCAGAGAGTTCTCTCTGCCTAATGCAGCAGCAAGAGCCCTGTATTTGTATGAGAGTCATTTACAAGACTTTAAAGTCATGTGGCAAGGCCCTCCACCTTTTTTTACACTCAATAGTTTTAAGGTTGACTAAAGTCAACAAAAATATTAGCCAACTCTGTCGGTTATACAAGTCGCACACTGCTGTCCCTAACAAACCTTTACCACAGACTGTACCATAGTGTATTCTTCTGATAGTAAAAGAGCACATTAGCAGAAGTCTAAGCATGCCGGGATGTGCTCTATGCAGCAGAGCATGCTCTCAGGATAGCTGCCGATGACAGCTCACCGTACTATTCTGATGGTTGTACCAGGCATCATACTGGGCACACACAGGATTGTATTTGATATCAGCAGTGGGTGGATGCTGATAAGGAACTTAACAAAGATGACGCTTGCTTTGGAAACAGGGGGATTGGCAAGGTCTGCAGCATTTTAGATGCAATATTAGAATCCATCCAGGAAATTGATATTTATGTATTATTCTACAGTTATATATGGAGGTAAATATGTGTTAGTGCTAAGATAAGGCTAGATCTATTTCCTATTTAATAGCAGTTTACTAGCTTGGATGTCCCAATAATACATATAGAGAACAAGTGGCGTCCCTAGGCTTTTTGCCACCTGAGGCAGGGGAACGTGGGGGTGAACGCAATCAGAGCAGTGAGAGGTGGGTAGAGGAGACACGAGATCGATGACGCCCCCTGCAGGTTCTGCACCTCCCCGCCCGGCTTTTAGCAACCTGTGACGCTTTGGCCAGAGTCCCGCCTAGCTCCTGGCAACGTCACTGGTTGCCAGGATCTGGGTGGAATGTTGGCCAGAGCATCCCAGGCAGAGCCAGATTTCCCACAAGGCCAACCGAGGCCCGACCTCGGGGCAGCAGGGGTGTGGAATTCCTATCTCCCGATGCCAGGGACATGCAGTT